CAGCTTGCGGAGAGCCAGTCCCAGGAAGGTGGGTGTCCTGGTGGGTTCAGGGTCCCCTGCCACCATGGGGCATTCCCATGGGGGACAGTGGGCTGCATACAGGGCTGAACCTCCTCTATGATGCCCAGCCCTGGAGACCTGTCCCACCAGGGAGCCTGAGCGCTGTCCTGTTCTGCAGGCCACAGGGACCCCAAAAGCCCAGAGCAGCCCCCAGGAGGGTGGTGGGGGCAGACACAGGGTGCAGGCTGTCGTTGCCAGCACAAGAATGCGTCGGGCACAGCCTAAAACTCTCAGCTCCCCTCTTTCCACTGTTCCTACTCTGCTGTCTACCAGGAACGATGGTAGAGCGATGCTTTGCAGAAGCATCAAGAAACCCCATAGTGTTGTGGGGTCAGGGGAGTGCTCGGGTCCCGAGGGCCACTCACGCCTGTCCGCCTGTGTCTGGGCTCAGATAGGACGGCGCGGAAGGAGCGGGAGGTGATGCTGCGGCTGAAGGAGGTGGTGGACAAGCAGAGGGATGAGCTTCGTGCCCAGGCCCACGAGATCATCTGCAAGAGCCGAGACACAGAGGCGGTGAGCGTGTGGGAGCTCGCGGGTGTGGTGTGCGAAGGGCCTGGGGACCTGCTTTGATGTCACCTCGCCCTGGGGCTGTCGCGGTGGCTGGTGAGCCTGCTGGGGCACATGCCTTTCCCGTGGCTCTCCATGCGCTGCTGTCCCTGGGTGGGGGCCCAGAGCTGATGCCGTGCCTCAACTCTCGGCTGCCCCGGGTCCTCCAGCTGCAGGAGCAACTGCATCGCTTCATGGCCATGAACGAGGACCTGCGTCACAAGGTGGCCGTGGTGCAGGCTCAGCTCAAGAGTGCGCTGGAGAAGAAGTCAGACCTGGAGGCCGCGATGCTGCAAACCCAGAGGGAAATGAGCAGGAGGAGCAGGACCACCTCTGAGATCCGGCAGCCAAAGCCCAGCCTGGTGAGTCCGAGCCCTTGGCCCTGCTGCTGCAGGGCATCGCTAACGCTGATCCGACCTTCCCGTCCTGCGTGGGGCTCCTGGCACGCCTGGACCTGCCGGCTGCCAGCAGGACACGGCCACTCAAGTAAGACCCACTGCTGAAAATTGACCAGTGAATTGAACGGTGCGGTGTCTGCAATGCCAATAATACGTTGTCCCTAAAAATTGGTAGGGGTGGAGGCAGGAGCGAGCAAGGCGAGGTGATGGGAGGAAAAGCCAGGTGGGACTCAGAGGATGAGGAGGGTTTGCCACGTGTGGTGATGGGTGGCACGTGCTGGCTGAGCTGGGGAGCCATCGTGGTCCGTGGAGGGCTGTGGCAGCTCCAGACCAGCAAACTCATTCCTGAGACTTCCATCTCTGCCTGCACGTGGCACCCAGCCTTTGGGCGGGGGCTTTGGGGTCTCCATTTGCCTGCTGACTCTCTCTCTGTCCCTGCAGGAAGAAGCACCGTCACCCGCGGAGGAGCCGCAGCACCAGGACGTGGACGCGGGCAGGAGCCCTGCTCACTGCTGCTTCTCCAGGGAAGAGCTGCAGCAGATCCTGCAAGAGCGGAACGAGCTCAAGACCAACCTGTTCTTGGTGCAGGAGGAGCTGGCCTATTACCAGCGGTGAGTCCTGCCATGGCAGCCTGGGGCAGCGAGCTGTGTCCCTCCTGTCCCTGCAACCACCCGTGGCCCGTCAGAGGCACGGTCGGGGCGGATTTCTTTGCCAGGCTCTCAGTTAACCAGCTGGCTGCTTTTTGGCAGGGAGCTGCTGAACGAAGAGAGAGTTCCCAGCTTCTTCTTGGATGCAATGAAGTCGACTATCAAAAGGCAGAGAAAAAAAATCAGAGCGAAAATGCTGGGAACGGTGGAGGAGTCGGCGAGCAGGTGAGTCCTGCTCACCAGGAGGGAGGACCGGAGCCTCCTGTGCAGGGTGGATGCCAGCTGGTGGCTCCGGTATTTCTGTGCGGTGCGACACCCTGGAAGGGAACTCCCCCAGGCCAAGAGCTGCCTCCTCCCTGCCTCCCAAAGATCAAAGGTTTATTGTCTGCAATGGATATCTTGCTCTGGCTTAGCCCTGGGAGCACCGCAGGGGCTGGGCTTTTCTCTGCTGCCACTCACGTGTCCCTGTCACCAGTCACACATGGCCTGGCCAAATGCCACTCGTCCCTGCATGGACGTGGCAAAAGGGAGGCGAGGTGGTGGCACTGGCACCACGGGACAAGGCAGGCTGGCCCCTGCGCCGTACGGGTGGAGGCTGTCCAGCAGAGAGCCTTTGAAGATGACAGTAGAGATGTTCCTCGGAGGCTCCGCGAGACGTTCGTGGGCAGCATTGGCTCCAACAGACTTCACACCATGGGGGCGGGGGGGCCCCTTTCCAGCCCCGGCTCTGCGTGTCTGTCAGCGGCGAGCAGCGAAGACTGCGCTAGGGCTGCCGTATGGCACGGGGGGAGCTGGATCTCACTGGCTTTTAGGGGCTTTAATAAAGGTCTGAAGGGGGCTGAGCTCTTCTGTGCTACTGCAACCTGCTGCTTGCTCGCGTCGGGGGTCTCTGCTGGCAGCGGGGGGCTCTGGGGGTGTTGGGTCCTGCCTGCTCGCCTGCCCGCCTGGCGAGGATAGCTCGAGCCCAC